AGGACAACCTGACCTAAAGTAACCAAAGCAATCTCCAGGTAACAACAAAAAAGCCCAGGAACAGGTATTTGATGTGGTAGTTATGACACCATTTGAGACACCCACACTGCAGATTTAAGTGCCTGGGTTTATAAACCCAGCTCAGCTTCTAATCTTCATAATGTACAGCTTGTGTGGCAGCCAGTGATGGCAAGTGGCTGGATCCCCACCACCCCTCAACTTGGAAGATCCAGTGAGGTCTATGCTGTTGCTTTTGAGTAGCCTAGCTCCAGCTCCAGCCATTGGGATGGGTGCATTTGGGGAGTACACCAGATGAGCGATATCATTTCCCTCTCTTTAAAATAAAAAGTTAAAAAAAAAAAAAAAAGAAAAAAAGAGCAAGAGCACAGAAGATATTGCCTTCCCCGCCACGCCATCTCCAAAACCCAATCCCAGTCATAAGCTACCTCCAAGGCTTACGTTTCTTTCCGTTAATGTGATCCAGGAAATTGATGGAGTCCTTCACCACACAGTCGCAGACATTGCAATAATATCTAGAAAGAGTAGGAAACAGCAAATGGGAAAAATCTGGTTTCAAGGCTCTATCTTTCTCAACTAAAAAATTCCAAATTCTTAAGGGGAAAAAAAAAAGGTTTTCAGAAGTGTTAAGATTTTTGGGGTCGCTAATCCCCTATCGGAATGCCTGGTTCAAGTCCCAGCTACTCTGTGCTTTTAATCCAAATTCCTGTCACAAATGTAGAGACCCAGATGGAGCTCTGGTGCTTCTGGTATTGGCAGTCACATAGTTTTTGCAAGAATCTGCAGAGTAAATGCGTACACAGAACTTTATTTAAAACGTCTAATATTTCATTTCCATAAAGCCTTAGCTCTTGTGGTGGTTATCCTCCAAGACGGCTCCCATAATGAGTCATTCTCCTGGTATTCCAACCCTGTGTAGTCTCCTTCCAATGTGTACCACGTTGGGTTGTGTGTCAATTAGAATATGTTCAAAGTATGGATGATTATCTCTAAGATTAGTTTTTAAAAGCCACGGGATGAAAGCAATTAGGCCTCTAACCCGTAAGTAGCTGAGAGAAGTTGGAAGCAGATCTTCCAGCCCACTTAAGCCCCAGATGAACATGAACCTAGCCAACCTGCTTGCTTACAGCTCCACAGAAACCCTGGAGCTAGACCACTGAGGTAACCAACTTCAAGATTCCCCATCCGTAAACACTGTGAGCTTCTGTTTTACATAACTAACCTTTTCTAATTGACTAATCAAAAATCTCACTCACTGCCACCTATGGTGGCTTCCTGCTTGAAATCCTAGGTGAACAAAAGGATGGTGAGACCTTGTGAGATCCTTCTTTCTACGGGTTACAGTGCTGGGCCAGCATAAAGGTGCACAGCCAGGTAATCCAAAACAACTGCAGTTTTTGCTGCTAATCTTGAACCTCAATACTCTTCTATGCCACTAATATCTCCTAAGCTCCATGCTAGTTCCACTTAATTTCTCCCCTAGCAATATCTTCAATTAACCCTTTACTCCTTCTTTATTCTAACAAAATCTCTTCGGAGATATAAGGAATAGTTACAGTGCTAACAACACAGAATGGCCTCTCCTGGAGACATTACTAAATATTAACCTAAAACTTTAGGGAGCAAAGCAAAATAATCTAAGAATGAAATGATGGGCAGCAAGGTTATCATCCTGGGATTAGGGATCCTCAACACGTCCCAAAACCAACACACGTGGTTCATCAGATCTACTTTTGGCTGTATGGAAAGATGGAGAACCACTCACCCTCCCATCTCGGACTGCGGGGTGGTCTTGGTAATGACAATTGTCTTCCCGAGCTTAGACTCCAGGTCCACCTTGTAGTCCCTGTGTCGCAAAAGCTCCCGTTTGACGGGCTGCACTGGCTTTCCTGAAAAATAATGGATAAGAAAGTCCCTCCAATATTTCATGTCCTCAATCAGAAAAGAAAATCTGAAATGGGACTAATTCCTGAAAGAAACGACACAACAGGCACTTCCTGCAGCAGTTAGCAGTATCTAACGGAGAATCTCAAGGCAAGAAAAAAAAAATGACACTCTACAGCTTTCCTCCACCTTCAAGCCAATAAATCTACAAGCAACCTGTTCTCCATTTCCTGATTAGCTGAGGGGAAGATCTCTGAATTGTCACTGGAAGCAGTCTTTTCAAAATAGCAAGAATATATGTGATTGGCAAAACAAGGGAAGACAGAAGAGGAAATAATTCGTAATTTTTACATAATCAGAAAGATTCTCTTATTATTTGGCATAGCCAATGATGTTTAGGCCTCTAATCCATAAATACCTGAGAGAACCTGGAAGCAGATCTTCCAGCCCACTTAAGCCTGAGATGAACGTGAGCCTCGCCAACATGTTTGTTTACAGCTTCACAGGGATCCTGGAGCCAGACCACTGAGGTAGCCCAATTCAGTTTCAAAACAAATCCAACAGTGGAGGAAAAAAATAAAAAAGACTAAGGGCACCCAGTAATGCTTTTTAGGCAGATACGAAAAGGATAACACACAAAAGTCAAGTTTAAAAAGGGGAACCAGTATCTAGGAAATCTCTGTTCTAAGAACAAGCCTACAAAGACCAAAAGGCCGGGGGTCGGTGCTGTGGTACAGTGGGCCAAGCTGCAGTTGGCAATGGCACCATCCCAGATTAGAATGCTGGTCAGATTCCCACCTGCTCCATTTCTGAGTCAGTTTCCTCATAACTTGTCTGGGAAAGCAGAAGGCCTCCAGAGTGCTTCAGCCCCTGTCACCCATGTGGGAGACCCTGAGTAAGTTCCAGGCTCCACTACTGCAAACGATTTGAAAAGTCCACCAACCATGTCGCGCTGCATTTCAAACACATCAACCAATCTTAAGAAAACAACACACCGAAGTGTCCGTGTGCAAACAGAAAACTGAAAATTTGCAGATAAGAAAATCAGACATTTCTTTTTACACAAAGAGCCAGCACAAGGGAGCACCTGCTGACAGGATCGATCAAAAGTCTGGATTGATTCGCAGCTTTCCTCTGTCTACATGCCAGGGTCCTGACTGGGCCAGCAAAAATACTCAACATCTCCGTTACTAAAAGAAATCCTGGCTCTTTAACTCAAGAAAGCCACAAATGAGTCAGTCCAAGCCGGGACACGGCAGCCGAGAACGGAGCTGAGAAGCAATATACAACCCCTTGGGTCCACCTCCCCGCTTGCATGTCAGACATGCAGACGCTGGACCACTTGGCCAGGGGCGGCTAGGGTGGGAGCGCAGCCCCCTCAACTCCTCGCCCGCTCTCCAGCCCACGGCAGCGCCTCGGCACCCACCATCCTTCTTCTCTCTCTCCTCCGTGAGCCTCTTCTCGGCCAGCTTTTCGTACTCATCTTTGTCCCACTTCCGGCGAAAGTCCAAGTTTTTTGCCTGTGGTGGGGGGGGGGGGGGAAGAAAGCGCTCAAGATCGGGTCACTGTCGTGTCTGGAAACCCTCCCCCTCCGAAACGCAAAGAACCGCGTCCTCTCCGCGTAGGAGGCTCTAGGAGTCTCCGATAGCGAAATCTCTCCGACTGACGGGAGACTGAAGTAACCCCGGGACCCCAAACCCAAGAGACCACCGCGGGTCCACAGACCCAGTGCCGGGACCTCACAGAATCCTCAGACGCTAGACCCTGGCATCGCGAGGTGTCGGGAGGCCTGTGTACAGGAGTCGGTCTCTACTCAGCACTGAGGAACCACCCGTCCATCCCCTCGAAGCCTCCTCCTCACACACAACACTTACCCCGCTGCCCGACGCCATCTTCACAGCTAAGTGAATGGGAGGTCGGAAAATGCCGTAAACAACGGCCTGAAGCCGTAAAGCAAAATGGCTCTCCAATGAGCTTGCAGTCTCGGGTTCTAAGCCGGCTGAGGACTGGAGGGCTTTTACCACAGGCTTATTGGCCCCGCCCCTGCTCCAAGGAGATGGCGCAGGCGCAGGGAGTGTACGAAGCAACACGGAAGTAAGGGCGCCTGCAAGCGTTTTCCTTCTTTGGCTTTCAAAACAAGAATTGGAAAGCCCATAGATTCAGTTCTTGCCGCTTTTATAAACGAGAAAAATTAAGGTTTAGCACATGTCCTTTTCTTTCTTTTTAAAAAATATTTATTTTTATTGAAAAGGCACATTTACAGAAAGGAGAGACAGATCTTCAATCCACTGATTTACTCCTCAAATGGCCACATTAGCTGGAGCTGAGCTAAAAGCCACGAGAAAAGGGCTTCTTCTGGGCCTCCCACGCGGGTGTAGGGGATGGAGGCTTTGTGTCATCTCCCACTGCTTTCCCAGGCCTTAATCAGGGAGCTGGATGGGAAATGGAGCAACTGGGACACGATCTCACATACGGGAGGGATGCTGGTGCTTGGAGGTGAAGGATAGACCAGTTGAGCCAACATGCTGACTCAAGTACACGTTTGTTGCTGTTGTTTTTCCTCTCTAGTTTTATCAACTTTGTGCAGTATTGTCAAGTGTTTGTGAACCTTGAAGCCAAGTACTGCTAATAGGGGCCCTAGGTGTCCCACTCACCTTCAGGCACTAAGGATGTGGTCTTAAACCTCATTGAAGTGTTTGCAGCAGCTGAATCCTTCCTTCCCTAGGCAGATGTGGAAGGCTCTTGGGCATTGTTTCTCTTGAAGTAACACTGTCACTCTGGTTAACTCATTTTTTCTTTCAACTGTGGAACACTGGAGTCTTTCAATCTGCAGGGAATAATTTCCTCCGTAGGATTGGACATGAGTTGGCCAGGAATCAGCATTGTCCTTGAGCTGATGCCTCAGGCTAGGCTGACTTCTAACAACATGACTCCTCCCTCCACCTTGAGGGACAACAGGTGAGGAAGAGGCTGTGATTGTTCCGTGCACAGAATCCACCTCAGGGCGGATACTTGCAGCTCACCAAATTTCCCAGCATACACTGAAGGCTTTCTCTGACAATACGCATACCCATCCCTTAATAAAACAACATTCAAACTGCCACAGTTAGTATTTTATTTCACATTATCAGTCAACCACCTCTTAGAACGGCAGGGCACGAACTAGTCCGAGCATGACTCTGGTATAGCAGATCTCCATCTTGCCACCTACTGAATTCAACAATCAGGATTAGACAGACGGCAGCTCCATCCTACTAGTACAGAGGATGGGGCCAGAGAGACAACAGATCAACTTGAGTACTCCATGCCCTTAGGAAGGCATGCCTGTCCTCAAAGGAAACAGCAGCCACTACTTCTTGCTTTCTTTCCAAAACTCCCTGGATGTGCCACTGGTTGGCTGAGGACAAATTCCCGGAGCTGCTGTGGAAGGTGGTTGTGTCTGGCCTCTGATCTCAATGGTTCAGAATCCACAGCCTGAGGTAACTCTCCCAAAGCCAAGCCATGCTTACAGCAACTGGCTCAGCACCTCTTGGTGGTGCTTTGCAGCACTCCTTATTTGCCTCTGCAGTTAGAAAACGTCTCTTTCACATCCCAATCATCTGCAGTCACGCAGAGCAGTTGCTTCAGTAGCCCAGCAGTCCTTGGGGCCTTCTATAGCGCTGTACCGGGAAGGACGGAGGAGGTAGAAGGCACTTGTCACTCATCCTGGCCAGCTGTTGTGAAATCCAGCAGGAATTCTGTCTTGGATGGAATTTTTTCTACAAACAGCACTAGATGGTTTTCAAGGATCAAGACTCAGACAGTCGCTTCTGAATTTCAATTACAATATCTTTCCGTTTAACATGCACCTGAAACACAAGAGAACCCTGAGTGACAAACTAGAAAATGACTCTTGCTCCATAATTACTGCTTTGTCAGATTAATTTTTTTAATGATTTATTCATTTATTTATTCATTGGAAAGGCCAATATACAGAGAGGACAGACAGAGAGGAAGATTTTCTATCTGTTGATTTACTCCCCAAGCAGCCGCAGTGGCTGGAGCTGAGCCGATCCAAAGCCAGGAGCCTGGAGCTTCTTCCGGGTCTCCCACATGCGTGCAGGATCCCAAGTCCTTGGGCCGTCCTCAACTGCTTTCCCAGGCCACAAGCAGGGTGCTGGGTGGGAGGCAGGGCCACCAGGATACCAACCAGCGCCCACATGGGATGCTGGCACATGTAAAGCAAGGACTTTAGCCACTAGACTACCACACTGAGTACTGTCAGATTCATTTTACTCTGCGTGTAGTGTGGGCTCGAGGTAACCTGAAGAATATGCATCCCCAGGATTAAAGGGATGTAGCACCTGCTCTAATTCCACTCTGTTGCTCAGTCTCTAAAACATCCATTTTGATTTTATTTCCCTTTCGATAGATACTTCCAGCTAATACTCACTGGCTACAATGGCTGTTTGGGTGGGTCTCCATTCATCACCATCACTATAAACCCTGGAATTATTTCCTCAGCAGTACTATACACATGTCTTACAGAATCTGGGAAAGGCAGAAATACTTGCACTGATCCTGCCTGTCCCCACTTACCTCCTCTCTGCTGGCTACTGAGCGGAGCTTCACAATCCCGTCTTTCAGTTCTTGCTCACCAATAATGACCACCAGTGGAATGCCTGTGTGTTCACAGTAGTGCAGCTGACTTAATAGTTTAGGGTTGTTTTTGTATTGCATCTCTGCCTGGAAGGGATTGAGACAGAGGGTTCAGAAGTGACCAAGCACACAAATCCCTGCATATGCATTCCAAAGGCAGTAAAAATCAAATGCCTAGCTCTCCAACCCTAAGAAGCTATTCTAAGGTAACTAAAAGGGTTTTGCATTCTACCCAAGAACCAAGGTAAATGGGCCTGGCTCCAGAACTTTATATGGCTGACGTGTCAGCTCCACCATACCTTGATCCCAGCATCCCAAAGTTCAGCAATCAGCTTCAGCCGTTCTCGGAGGAAGTTCTTCTGGGGTGTGGCCACAAACACTTGAGTCTCTGTGACTCGCACACTCTCACCAACAGTCTGATAAAAGCAGAAATAAAACAAATAATCTTCCACTGAAACAACAAATCCAAACAAGAAAACAAACAAGAATTGGGAGGGGGCTGGCACTGTGGCCAGGTGAAGCATTGGGGCCTAGCAGTGGCCTCGTACTAGAACTGATTTAAGTCCTAGCCCCTCCACTTCTCATCCAGCCCTCTGCCAATAAACCTGGAAAAGCAGCAGGAGATGGTGGGCCCAAGTGCTTGGACCCCTGCACCCACCGGGGAGACCCAGAGGAAGTTCCTGACTCCTGGCTTCAGAATGGCCTAGTTTCAGCCACTGTGGGCATTTGCAGAGTGAACCAGGAGATGGAAGATTTCTTTCTATGTTTCTCCCTCTCTCTCTCTTTTTAATGCTAACTTTAAAATAAATAAATTTTTAAAAAATTGTCAGAAAAATAGTACTTCTATATTCTAGAAATAAGGCTTCTAGGCCTCCAGCCTCACCTACCTCCATCTAGCACCTACCTTCATCCTCTGCTCCACAATGTAGAAGATCCGCTCGACGCCAATACTGAGTCCCACGCAGGGTACCTTGTGGCCTTTAGGGTCAAACATGGCCACCAGCCCATCATAGCGGCCACCAGCAGCCACACTGCCCACGTTCAGGGACTCCCCTTGAGCCTGAGCTGGGGTCTTTGGCAGGACTGCTTCATAGATCACGCCTGTGTAGTAGTCCAGGCCCCGAGCCAGGCTCAGGTCAAAAGAGACCTGTGAGGACAAGGCCCAGAGGGGACTTGGTCTCCTGAGAGCACAGAACCCTCCAGAAGGCCCACTGTTACCTCCGCTTACCTTCTCCGCGATTCCAAAAAGTGTTAAGTACTCAAACAGCAGCTTCAGGTCCCTCAGGCCCTCCAGGGCCTGCTGGTTCTGTGACAGCCTAGGGTCCTGGAACATTTGTTCCACTAAGGATGCACCACCTACAGCAAAAAATAGCGAGCAATAACATCTGTGCTGTTCACTAAGGTATGTTTCACTTTATGTATGCTTTATGTGCCCCAGCTAATTCTTCTCATTGATTTTCTTTTCTTTTCTTTTTTAAGATTTATTTATTTTCATTACAAAGTCAGATACACAGAGAGGAGGAGAGACAGAGAGAAACATCTTCTGTCAATGATTCACTCCCCAAGTGAGCGCAACGGCAAGTGCTGCGCCGACCCGAACCAGGAGGCAGGAACCTTCTCCAGGTCCCCCCACGCTGGCTCAGGGACCCAAGGCCTTAGACAGTCCTCGACTGCTTTCCCAGGTCATAAGCAGGGAGTTGGATGGGAAGTAGAGCTGCTGGGATTAGAACCAGAGCCCACATGGGATCCCAGGGCTTTCAAGGCAAGGACTTTAGCCACTAGGCCACCGGGCTGGGCCCTGATTTTCTTTCTTTGAGATTTTATTTACTTTTATTTGAAAGGTAGAGTTACACAGAGAGAAAGAAACATACAGAGAAGAGAGAGAAAGAGAGATCTTCCATCTGTGAGTTCACTCCCCAAAAGCCACAAAGAATACAACTGGGCTAGACCAAAACCAGGAGCTTCTTGCATGTCACCCATGTGGGTACAGAGGCCCAAAGGCTTGGGCCATCCTTTGCTGCTTTTCTAGGCCATTAACAGGGAGCAGCTGGGACTCAAACCATGGAAAAGTGGAGCAGCTGGGACTCAAACCAATGCCCGCATGGGATGCCAGTGCTGCATGCAGAAGCTTAACCTGCTACACCAAAGTACCAGCCCTCTTTCAGAGAAAAAAAAAGGGGCCATTGATGAGGTATAGCAAGTAAAGCTGTCAGCTGCAGTTCAAGTCCTGGCTGCTACACTTCTAACCCAGCTTTCTGTTAATGTGCCTGGAAAAGCAGCTGAGAATGGGCCCCTGCACTCATATGGGTGACCAAAGTGAAGTTCCTGGATCCTGACTTCAGACTCCACCTGTGGACAGCCATTTCGGAGGTGAACCAGCAGATGACAGTTCTCTGTCGCTCCCTCTCTCTGTAACTGATTTTCAAATTAAGAAAGAAATCTTTTTTAAAAAAGAATAAAATAAAACAAATTGGGGGCCCAGTACAGTGGTATAGCAAGCTAATACTCTACCTGGCACACTAGTATATATATATGGGCACTGGTTTGAGTTCTGGCTCATCTACTTTCGATCCAGTGCCATGTCAATGGCCTGAGAAAGCAGTGGAGTATTGCCCAAGGCCTTGAGTCCCAGCATCCCTGTGGGAGACCTGGAATAAACTCCTGGCTCCCAGCTTCAGACCAGCTCTCCTGGCCATTTGGAGAATGAACCAGAGATGGAATTTTTCTTTCTCTGTCTCTTCCTCTCACTGTAATTCTTTCAAGTAAAAATACATAAATTTTTTAAGTTAAAAAAAGAGAAAAAAAAAAGAGAGAAAAAGATCCTGGTCTCATATAATCAGAATCACCTCCTCTGTCTGTACCTTTGTCACCAGGAGACACAAAGTATATGGACTTATGACTGCATATGAAGTACTATACTATTATCACAATTTGGGGGAAATAAGGAATATGGTGAGGGAGTAGGAGAAATCCCATAGCCTATATAGAATTGTACCATAAAAGTAAAAATAAAAATAAAATAGAAAAGGGCCCGGTGTGATGGCACAAGTGGTTAAGGTCCTCGCCTTGCACGCCCAGGATCCCATATGGGCGCCGGTTCTAGTCCCGGACGCTCCACTTCCCTTCCAGCTCCCTGCCTGTGGCCCGGGAAAGCAGTCGAGGACGGCCCAAAGCTTTGGGAACCTGCACCCGCGTGGGAGACCCGGAAGAGGCTCCTGGCTTCGGATCGGCATAGCATTGGCCGTTGCGCTCACTTGGGGAGTGAATCATCGGAAGGAAGATCTTCCTCTCTGTCTCTGCTCTCTGTATATCCGCCTTTCCAATAAAAATAAAAATAAATCTTTAAAAAAAAATAGAAAAAAGAAAGTATATAGTAAGTAAGAGAGACATTACATTTAGGCAAGCTTAGCACAACTGTGGAAAATTGTTTCAGAGATAGAATTTGAACCCATCACCCTCAGTCTTGTCCTACCATAGCTCTTAGACCCTCGTTCTTACCACGACACTGGACATAGTCCCCAATTCGATCAGCTACCTCCGGAGTCAGGCCTCTCTTTGCCACCATCTCATGTCTCACATCTGTCCAAGACATCTGTATGAACACCCAAACATTAGCTCAGCCCGACCGCCTTCTTTCTCAACTGAAAAGGATATGATATTTTCATTCAGGATATGCCACAAGCAGCTAACAGCACGCTCAGTAAAGTCAGGGACAGCTTAAGAAATCCAGGACAGTCTCACTGTACAGCAGAAATCAGATCTTTCTTTAGAATGTCTCCCTCCCTTCCAGCAATAAAAGCTCACGCCTGCCCAAAGCTAATTGGATTTGAGGGAGGACCGTTTAAATGTGGGGGGATAATGTTGAGATGAGGGGGGTAAATCTCATACTATCTATACTCATCTAGTGTGATGTTGGGGATAGTTATTGATGAAGGGTTATACTATGTAAGATATATGAAGTGAAGTGTTGAAGAAGTATGGAGGAATGGGTTAGATGTGATATTTTGATGGGGTGTAAAGGTATGGGGTAAGTTAAGGGATTGTTAATGTGATTGTTAGGTGGGGATAAGTATGTTTTTTTGGGTGAGGGTTAGATTGGGAATTTTTTTGTGTGTATGTGGGTGGTGGGGGGTGGGTGTGAGGTGGAAGTTTTGTGTTTGTATGGGCGGTGGTGATGTGGGGGAATGTGGTGTTGTTTATGGGTTTAGTTTGAAAGATGTATGATGGAGTGGGTGAGAGGGTGGGGGGAGTGGAGTGGGAGGATATTGGTTGTTCTTTATGATATATTGAGATATGTGTTCATGATTGGGATGGAAGATGTAGGAGTGTCTATTGATCTAATTATATCTATCTGGGATTGGTGTATTGGGGGAGTAGATGATGATGTGGAAAATGGTTGTGGATAGGGGGAGTTTAGGGGATTGATATGGAGATGAATGTGGTTATGATGTGATTTATGGTAGTGAGTATGATAGAGGATTTTGAAGTATTGGTTGTTAACTGGGGTACTATGTTGAATGAGTTAATTGAGTGATGATGGAAATGTTAGTGATAGAGAAAATGATGGGGATAGGTATATAGGGGGGGGATGGTGAAAGGGTAGGAGGGGGGAGGTGATGGGGTGAGAAAGTAGAATATAGGGGAATTATGGGTAGGGATGAGATGATTGGGTGGATGAAGTGTTATTGATTTTTGGTGAGATATGTTTGGGGGTTGTTGGTGTTTTTGTATTTGTGGTAAGTTATGTGGATTTGAGGGAATAGTGGTTGATGTGAGAGAATGGGTGTTTATTGTAAAGGGAGGGATGGGTGGAAATAATGAATTTGGAGTGTTTGGAGGATGAGTGGGTGTTGTTTGTTGGATTTTTATGATTTGTTTTCTGTGAATTTACGGAAGTAAGCACCTCTGGGGACTGGAAGGAGTGTTTTTTTAAGTTTACAGTGGACATCGGAGGTTAATTTATGGTTTGGATTGGAAATTGATTGGTTATGATGGGTGTTGAGGGAGGTGTATGATGGGTGATGGTTGGAATTGTAAGTTTGGTCCTAGAGGCCTTTGAGAGGAAGCCCTCTGGATCTGACAAAGATGGGTCAGGTGCCAGCACTCAGGATACTGTAAGGTCATAGCGAAGGGACAGTAACTCTCCACCTTGGTCCTTCAGATCATAGATGAGCCCCGAGTTCTCTCCATAATTCTCGCTCAGCATTTCCTTCAGGAGTCAAACACAAGCAGTCATCGTGCAAACAATGAGGACAGAGCAGATGAGAAGCTCTTTGGGACCCTGAAGGCCGGGGTAGAAATGGGGTTTCAGGAGCTCCTCTTCCCATACCTTCAGCTCAAATGCCGGAGTATCCAGACCCTTTGCTCCGTGACGTTTGAAACAGCTAACAACCACATCAAGAATTTTCTCCCTCACAACCATCTGCTCAGGACTAAAATCCCTAGTGCCCTGGAAACCAAAAACAGTCACAGTGAAAAGAAACAAAAAAAAACAATGTAAGACAAAGAGCTAAACTTCCTATAATTTAAAGTATGAAGCCGAAAACTTACGAATTCATGACTCTGAGCTCCACTCAGTAGCAAAGAATAGTAAGGTTATTTTTTTTTTTAAATTTAATGTAGAAGGGCATTAAAAGGAGGCAGAGAGATGATCAAAACACAAGTCAATCTTCCAAAGCAGTCTAATGGGGCAGAGTGGACAAAGTGCACCTACCTTTGGGGTCTTGATGACAAAATTTGGTGTTTCTTGATGTGATTTCAGTTGCGATGTCAACACTGACTCTGCAGCCTGGCAGAAGAAATGTGAACTGTAGCTCCTGTGGCCACTGGCCAGACCTGCCAACATCTCTGAGCCCAGAAGCCACACAGGGGCAAAGCCCCTTGATCATGAGCAACAAAAAGCCTGGCTCCACTTTATTCCAGTCTCACCTCCCTGCACCCCAGAACCCACACTGCACGAACAATCATGAGTCATGCATGGCACATACATGACACCAGATCTCTGCTATATAAGCTTATTCACTCTATCCAGAGTGTTTGAATATTTGAAAAATTTTAAGCCCCTGAAAACAATAAAGGCACAAACAACCCAGCACCAAACACAGGCAAGAATTAGTACAGTCTCCAGTTCTCAGATCCTACTCAAACAGCAAAAGGAAGAAAATGTAAGATCGCACTGGTTATCAAGTTTGAAGATGTGACAAATGCAACCCCAAGACAGAACTGACCTGAAGCCAAAGAACAAGCCAGTGAAATGAAATTGAAGGCATTTCCTGACTGATATATATAGAGTGCTGTGACTGAAAAGTAATCAAATATTTGCATCCTGCTGCCTATAGAACATTCCAGAAACAGAGGGTGTGCTCCGTTCATGCTTTGGCGGCTCATTTCTCCAAAGCAAGTCCAAACTCACCAAGCCCACAATCTCGCAACTGCAATTCCAAAATTTAAAAATCTCTGAGAACCAAACGTGCTCTTTGGAAATTCACTCTGAGTAAATGCCAACATGCACTCCATCTACTTCATGACCTCTAGTCAGCTCATTTAGTGTAAATGTCCATGTAGTTTGCTTAGGAATTATGAATGTAATTGGCTTTAAATTTCAGAGAAAAGAGTTTGGATCTGTGTGAAAATCTTCCCTAACTATGCAGCCTGGGGAAAAAAATTATTTAATCTTGCAGCCTGTTTCAGCGACTATAAACATAGAAGTACAAACTCCAGCTCCTCTTGTAATGGATTAAACGACAAATCACCCTCAATCCTCAGTTCATGGTGGAAACTCCAGCAAAACTGGTGGCCATGCCACTGGAGTACTGGCTTGCAGGAGTCCCTGCTTGCAGACCTGGAGGCCTTGCCCGGGGGAATGGAGATACCTGAGCAGAAAGCCTCACCTGGCTGTGACAGCGGACCGCCTGGGGACACGCGCATCGCGGTGGTCGCAGGAGCTGGCGGAAGATTGCGGCCCAGGCCCTCTTGGGCAGAAGTCCGAGCTGCGGCATTATGCGCAGGAGGCCGGCTTTCCGCGACAGGACCCAAAAGACGCGACCCAAGCAAGTAGGCTGATCCCGAGTAAGGAACACAGAAGGAGCGTTACCGGTTCAGCCGGCTGAGCGCCACTAGTCCTCAGTCAAGGCTTCCAGTAGGTACCGGAAGTGATGTTAGGGCCCGGCAGAGACTCTCTAGGCGTCCGGACTGGCGACTCGATAGCCGGAAGTCATCCAGGCCGAATGTGAAGGCTGAGGCCAACAAGGGCAGGTGTGGATCGAGTCAGCGGGTGTGGACAGAGTCAGCCTCAGTGAACGGCGGGAATGGCTGACCGTGCGGCGCTCGAGGAGCTGGTGCGGCTTCAGGGAGAACACGTGCGGGGTCTCAAGCAGCAGAAGGCCAGCGCAGAACAGGTGCGACTCGGGGCAGCCGAGGGGCCGCGGCTAAGCCAGGGAAGCATTTAAAACTCGAGTCGTCTTAAATAGAAGACAGTCAAGCGGGAGAAGGACCGGGCTGGGAGGGATGTGGCTGGGTGTGTCCCCAGAGAAGCAAAGCTAGGCTTGGCTAGACAGATCTGCCCAGAAGCCTGATGCTGGAGGAATATTGAATGAATGGTGGGTTGGGGGGAGGGAAGGGAAGTGACTGATGCCAAGCCCTAGCTCAGCGACGTCTTTCTTTCACAGATAGAGGAGGAGGTGGCGAAACTGCTGAAGCTAAAGGCACAGCTGGGCCCTGATGACACCAAACACAAGTTTGTGCTCAAAACCCCCAAGGTAACAGCCTGCCTGCTGGGAACCTCTGAGGCAGTCTAGAATACCACTTACAGCCGACCCAGGTCGCGGATGAGGGCCTCAAAGGCTGCAGAGATGACAGCTGTTCTGGGCGGGTGGCTGGCGGGAGTGGGAGCAAGGCACTGTGCTATGACCCTAGCAAGGCAGCTGGGTGTTAGGGGACTCAGCCTGCTGCTCCCTCTTCATGCAGTGCTGAGTGCTCCTTGCGTCCTTGGAACTGTGCAAGCCACTGGATATATACTGGGAGACCATATATGCTGTCCTCAAGGAGCTTACACGATCCCACAGGAGACAAAGTGAGGACAGATGACCCCATCGTGATTGTAGCTAGTGAAATAAAAGAATCCACAGGATGCTTGGAGGGAGTCGGGGAATTTTTTAAAAAGTTCCCTCCAGGAAGTCACCTGGTAATGGAGAGAACCTGTGGGTGGGAGGTCACCAGGGGTGTGAAAAAGAGTGATCCAGGTAGAATATGGGCACCTTCAAGTATCGATTTTCAGTAGTTATTTGTGTAGCTTATTTACTGATGCTGATGCTTGGTGCTCAAAAATAAGTGTTTAATGTGTATATTTGGGATTGAATTCAGAAGGAGAGAGAAGAATATGTCTTCCTTATGTTAAGATGAACCCTTTGGACTTGAACTCACAGAACCATTTTTTTTTACTATATATAACTCATTTTCAAAGATTATAGAGAGTAAAACAATGAAGCAATGATGGTCAATGAATATGCAAACTGGAAGACATAGAAAATGTAATGGATGCTTTGTGATATGTTGGGCTTCCTCAAAGTTAACGATCAGTCTTAACATTGCTAAAAGATGAGCAGCCAGACATTGTCTTCCTGCTGATGTGTTGCAATAAGAAGTATGTAGCACCACCCATGAAGTATTCTTGCCAAACATGGAACCTGAATTTAATCAGGTCTCTGAACTGTGATGAGTTTACATCATGCTCTGTGATGCCATTTAATAAACATGCTAAATGACATATTTAAAATATATTGTGAATCAAATACAAAATGTGAAGGTTTTAAAGGACAAATGTCTCATTTTCTTCAACAAATACTTTTTTTTCAAAAAGGGAAGGTTTAAAAAAAAGATATATGTCTTTAAAGATTTATTTATTTTTTTATTAGAAAGGCAGATATGCAGAGGGGAGGAGAGACAGAGAGGAAGATCTTCCATACTATGATTCACTCCCCAAGTGGTCACAATGGGCTGATCCCAAGCCCAGAGCCAGGAACTACTTGCTGGTCATGCATATGGGTGCAGGGCCCCAAGGCTTTGGGCTGTCCTTGACTGCTTTCCCAGGCCACAAACAGGGATTTGGATGGGAGGTTCAGCAACCAGGGCATGAACCAGAGCCCATGTGGGATTCCCAGAGCTTGCGAGGTGAGGATTTAGCCACTGAGTTATTGTGCCAGGCTCCGAGGTTTCACTTCTGATTCAACTCCTTGCTAATAACTGGGGAAGAGCAGAGGAAGATGCTCAAGTACTTGGGACCTTGCCACCCTATTGGGAGACTCAGATAAAATTCCTGGTTGTTACATCTGTCTGGGGAGTGAACCAGGAACATCTCTTCCTTTCTCATTGTAAATGACTTCCAAATAAACAAATCTAAAAAAAAAAAGTTTAAATATGTAGTTTAACCCCAAAGCTATTTCCTCCTCTGTCCCTTTGTTCAGGTTGGCTATGTTGTGGCTTCCCTTTAGGCTTTCTTCAAGTTTAATGAACATAGAAAAATCTACCCTACAGACTGTTGGTTTCCTCCAAGATAAGGATTAACAAAAGCTTGCACTATTTGGCTTTTGTAACAAGAGCTTTGACACCTTGGCTTTTTAGGATATAGAAGTCTGTATGTTCATAGACAAAGTGCTTCATCCTAAAAGCAGGGATGGTCATCTCAGTGTAGTTTAATAAAATGATTTCTCTGTTGAAAGAAAATAAATAAAATATGTAGTTCAGTATCATGAAGACATTTCTAAAGTTTCTGGAAAATTTTTGTTGTAATTTTTTTTTAAATCCATGAATTCTTCTTTTCATAATAAGCATTTTCTGTGAACTTTTTGAACACCTCCTGCAATATACTCACATTGTGTACCACTGTCTCCGAAACTTTGATTATCTCAAATTAAAATTTCCCACTGTGACGGCTCCCTGCCCCACTCCCTTCAGCACCTAGTATTTTCTGTTCTACTTTCTACCTCTATGAGTTTGTCTAGCCTGGTTTCCTGTGTAACTGAAAGACTAGGAATTTTGATATCACAAAAGGAAGAATTCATTGATGTGGCTTTCAGATCCTGTACTACAACCAGTCTTTGAGAGGCAGGCATTGTGCATAGTTGGTTAAACTGCCACTTGGAACGCCAGCTGGTGCTGTGCCAATCCAAAGCCAGGAGCCAGGAGCTCTTCCGTGTCTCCCACACGGGTACAGGGTCCCAAAGCCTTGGGCTGCTCGTGACTGCTTTCCCAGGCCACAAGCAGGAAGCTGAACGGCAAGTGGGGTTGCCAAAACCAGAACCAGCACCTATATTCCCATATTCCCTGCGTGCCCATAGCGAGGACCTTAGCCACTAGGTGAGTATCGTTGGTTAAACTGCCACTTGGAATGTCAATATCCCATATGAAAATGTCCTGACTTCCACTTTTAACTTGTGTCCACTTTTTTTTTTTTATTGCAAAGTACAGAGAGGAGAAGGGATACACAGGAAGATCTTCCATCCATTGAGTCACCTCCCAAGTGACCACAAAGGCTGGAAACTTCCTGAGAGGATCAACCCAGATGGTATTACAGTCCCATTGACCCTGATCTTATAATGCTCTGGTGTAAAATAGAATGAGAGTAGAGAGAATCAGGTATCTCTTTTCAGTTAAAAGGCTTTGTTACTTTAGCCACAAAGTTAAAATAGCATTGCCCCGATTCTGAACTAGGCCTGAAGTTACAGACATGACTTTGTAAATGTATTGTTTTTCTCTGTTGTGATGTCCTTTTAGTTATTTGTTTATTTTTTGAAAACTGCTATCATGTAAGATAAGCTGTAAATTGCTGACAACTGCAATAATGATATATATGATAAAAGTGACCCATGGTGCCCAACTTGGTAGCCTAGTGGCTAAAGTCCTCGCCTTGCATGCACTGGGTTCCCATATGGGTGCCGATTCTGATCCCGGCAACCCTGCTTCCCATCCAGCTACCTGCTTGTGGCCTGGAAAAGCAGTCAAGATGTTCCCAAAGCCTTGGGACCTTGCACCCACATGGGAGACTGGGAAGAAGCTCCTGGCTCCTGCCTTCAGATCAGTTCAGCTTCAGCCATTGTGGCTACTTGGGGGGGTGAATCAATGGATGGAAGATCTTCCTCTCTGTCTCTTCTCTTCTCTCTATATATGCCTTTCCAATAAAAATGAACAAATCTTTTTAAAAAAAAATGACCCATGATAAGCAGAGAAAAATAGTATCTTTCTGCCCATACCTTTGTCAGAAGGAAATTAGAGAACAAATAGTACTGTGAATTAGGATTTAAAGGAATAATTATATTGAGAGAGAAAAGCTGCTGGTAGAATTTAGAATTCAGCTAGTTGTCCTAGCTTGAATTGGTAATATTCTTTTTATCAGGTAAGTATTTTTTGGCTAGGCAAGGAAATATTCTGTTATTTCTAGAAAGGGTTTTTAGAAAAACTGCTTGGAGAAAATAGTTGTAAGAGTATTAGAAATACTCCAAAATAGAACCAAGCCAAAATGGAAATAGAATCTGGGAGGTTAATAGCTAATGGATTAAGGATTAATAGGGAATTGTGCTTCTGTTATAACTCAGTGGCCAGTTTGGAGTAGGATTTGCTTTTTTCATTGTTGAAGTCATCCATTTATTTGTTAATAACTGCTTCTTATTTGACTCCAAGGGCACAAGAGACTACAGTCCCCGGCAGATGGCAGTTCGAGAGAAGGTGTTTGATGTCATCATCCGCTGCTTCAAGCGCCATGGTGCAGAAGTAATTGATACACCTGTGTTTGAACTGAAGGTGAGGTTATTTAAAGAGAAACTGGTGACAATAGAGAGGGCCTTAAGACCCCCTTCCTGTGATGGGCGCAGGCTTTCCCCAGTGAGGGGGACGGAAGTGGCATGGAGTGGGCTTTTATTTGTCTTGGTTGTGTCTGTGGCTTCCAAAAGAGAGTCCTTCTAACGAGTGGAGTTGTTCTAGCTCCTTTCTACAGTGAAATCCATGGCATATGTTAGACTAGTGCTAGCACTGGCGTGATGGTATAGCTGGTTAAGCCACTACCTGAAAGAACCAGCATTCCATATAGACGCCTATTTGAATTCTGGCTGCTCCACTTCTCATTCAACTCCCTGCTAATGACCCAAATGCTTATGCCATGTATGCACATGAGAGACTCAGAAGAACCTCCTGGCTTCTGTCTGGCCCAGTCTTTGTGTTGCAGCCATTTGGGGAGTGAACCAGCATATGGAAATCGACCTCTCTCACTTCTCTCTGTAACTGCCTTTCAAAGAAAACAAACACAACTTCAAAGAAACATACACACACACATTACACAGATCAGAGGGGCAGGCATTTGGCACAACAGTGAAAATGCACATGTCCCAGGCCTGGGGTCCTGAGCTCAGCTCTTTATTTCAGCTTCCTGCTGATGCAGACCCTGATGGGCAGCAGTGATGGCTCAAGTGCGGGGTCCCCACCACCCATATGGGAGACCTGCTTTGAGTTTCCAGCTCCAAACTAGTCCAACCCAGTGCCTGTGTGAACATTTGGAGAGAGAACCAGGAGTACACTGGCAGTCCTTTCTTTCGGCCTCTCTTTCCCTTCCCTTCCCTAAATAAGTAAATAAGAATTTAAGATAATAAATGCATATTTTATCACTCCCTTCTTAAATATCAGTGATCCCCTTATACTTAAAATGTAACCCAAACTCTTTACTTGGATTTGTAGACCTCTACAGGATTTGACTCTCATGCTTTTCTTCTTTCCCGTTACACTGATCTGGTCTTCTTTCTATTTCTAGAACATACTGTCTTTTTTTTTAAGGCCTTTGTCCTTGTTCTCCCCTTTTCTGAGTTCCCTTTTCCTCGGTTTTTACTTGACTTTGATTTCAGATGAAATTATTTTGTAGGTTTTAATTTCAGATCTCAGCTAAAATGCCAGTCCTCAAACAGCTGCCTTGCCCTGACATAGCCCTTGTCTGTCACATCAGCCGGCTTTATTCCCCCTAGAGCATCTGTGTCTGTGTGAAATCACCTGTTGATTTTTTCCTTGCCTGAACGTAGTGGCTGGCTCTCATTGGAAGATCCTCAGCTATAGGCGTGGCCTGCATTGTGCTTGTCAATAGATATTCAGAACCTAGGACAATGTCTACTACTGGTAGACATTGATCTGTAGGATAAATTCATATAAATGAAATTTCTAGGTCAAAAGATTATACCCATTTATGCCTGTACCAACTACGTTTGTTTGCTTGGGCCGCCATAACGAAGTGCTGTTGACTGGGTACACTCACTAGTCAACAGAAGTGTGGTTTCTCACAGCTCTGGGAGCTGGAAGTCTGAGATAAGGTGTTGGCAGGGGTGGTTCCTCCTCGGGCCCCAAGGAAGAATCTGTCCATGGCTTTTAGAAGAGTAGCTCCTTCCTCTGTCCTCCCTTTTTCCCCATGTGTCCAAATTTCCTCTTCTATGGGGACACCAATCGTATTGGATTGCAGCCTGCCCTCATGACTACATTTTGGCTTCATTACCTATTTAAGGATCATGTGGAGGTAAATAGGGTTTACAACTTCATCTTAAAAATTTGGAGATTAGGAGACTTAATTCAGCCCATAATATCAACCAATACATGGCTCTTTCTGATTCTACATACCGGGGACCCTTTGGACTTTTTACTCCTTGCCAACCTATGAAGTGAAATAGGTTAGCACTTCCTGCTGACGTAATAGGAAAGGACTTCTCTAACACCTATAGGACTCTGGGTTTCTGACATTGTTCAAATCTCAAATATTATGAAACATATGTATGTTTGCTGCTCTATTAATGCATTCAAAGAAGTTTATCCTTAAGACAAAAATATTATTAAAAGGAAAAAGCTATATACTTATTAAATGTCAGGGAAAATGCTTTGAAAATTTGGATAACATCTAACAGTGTAAGATTAGGAAGAAAATATAGAGCTTCTTCTCAATGGAATTTTTTCTTTTTTTTAGATTTATATATTTTTATTGGAAAGTCAGATTTACAAAGTGAAGGAGAGACAGAAAGATCTTCCACCCACTGGTTCACTCACCAACTAGCCGAAATGGGAAGCGGGGCTGCTGGGATTAGAACCTGTGCCTATATGGGATCCCAGCGCATGCAAGGCAAGGACTTTAGCCACTAGGCTACTGTGCTGGGCCCTTCTCACTGGAATGTTATGCATGTTTTAAAAATTAATATTTCAGTTATGTCACAACATAGAAAGCAGAGAATCAATACAAAATGCTGTTTGTCCTTTTATTTTAACTATGTCAGTTGCATAAGCATTGGAATAAAGAGTAATGTGAAAAAAAAGAGTAATGTGGACAGATTAAAATGTCACATTAGAGTAGTGGACTTTTGTTTTCAAAATTTTCTTAAAAATTGTTATGTTCTTTTAATCTGTTATATTTATGTAATCACTTTTCTGTTTTGTTGTTGTTGTTGTTGTTTTGTTTGTTTGTTTTTTTCCAGGAAACACTGACTGGAAAGTATGGGGAAGACTCTAAACTTATCTATGACCTGAAGGACCAGGGCGGCGAGTTGCTGTCCCTTCGCTATGACCTCACTGTATCTTTCTAAGCCAGAGCTCTTGACACTTTGGATGGACTGGCCCTCACTAGGGTAGGGCTGTTCCTAGCCTCAGGTGTAGGGAACAGGAGACATAGGTAGGTTTAACCATGAGGCTTAGCAGCTAGGGGATACTATTTGCTGCAGCTATTGATATGCAACAGGGAGCATATAATTAGTCTAAGTATGTTGAGTACGTTCTACAGGTCTGGTTGCAGGGATATTTGCAGAGACATGGGCCATTCCTGAATCGCAAGCTTCCTGCATATGGTGAAAGCTGCAGAGATGGGTTAGGAACGATGTAAAGGGCATGTGAGAAGGAGTTGGTTACATCTTTGACAGGCTTAGCTTAGTCCGGATATAAAGTGGATTCATATCGGGGTGAAATTGGTGTGGATATTATGGAGGGGAGTCAGAATCGTTGAGGAATTGGATATTGACTAGGGCAGATATTAAAGAGGGAATTTTGTTAAGTGAAGGTGTGGCTTGGTTATTTGATCGTATGTGGCATGAACAAACTGACCAACATTAAGCGCTTTCAACATAGAAAAAGGTCAAAACGGGATAACCCAGCCATGACCCGGGGCCGATATCGGGATATTCACCATGTGTGTGAGTATGGGGGTGTGGGAAGGATGGGGATTTCATACAAGAAGCATAGATCGATTAATATTTCGAGTGTCCGAACAACTGGTTGTCCCAGATGATGGCCTAAGATCTCTATTTACATATGAGTACATTTAATACTCAGCAGATGAAGAAATCTCAGGGGTAAGAAAAGCCAAGTCAGGAGAAGAACTCCATGGCTGGTGTCTTTTCTGTTAATCCGAAGTGATAGAAAAACAACAAAAGATAAGAAGATTGCATTTTAGACTTGAAAACTCCCAGATTGATAGCAAGGCTTCTGACTGAGCATAGAGGATAGATAATAAGGGATTAAGACCAGATAATTGCCCCAGAAGGAATTAAAGATGATGAAGAAATAGATACTATAGGGGTAATAGGAGATGGAAAGGCCATCAAAAGTGATGAGAAGCCCAAGAATCTGGGGGTTTCTATTAGGCTAATTAGGCACTGGGAATGAAGGAGAAGATCTGTGCTTGGGGTGGATAGGCCTTCATGGAGCTTCCACAGAGCTTCCAGAAGGATCTGCTTCAGGTTGGCTGACCCTTAAGGAGCTACAACTATGCCTGTTGCTGCAGGATTTTGACATCGCAGGGCAGTTTGACCCCATGATCCCTGATGCCGAGTGCCTGAAGATCATGTGTGAGATCCTGAGCTCACTTCAGATAGGCGACTTCCTGGTCAAGGTCAGAGCTTGGGGCGAGGAGGGTGAGGCTGGGCTTGGGCTTGCACAGGAGAATGTCTGGGCAGAGGAGCCAGGAGCCTAAGTCACTGAGTGAAAAAGTCCTTTGCTGTGCCTTGGGTCATGTCGGCCAACCCCCATCAGGTTAACGATCGGCGCATCCTGGATGGAATGTTTGCCGTCTGTGGAGTTCCTGATGCCAAGTTCCGGACTATATGCTCCTCGGTGGACAAGCTGGACAAGGTAATGACCCAACACCTCACTCTTCTTTGCCTAGATATCACTCTACCCTGAGAGTTGGGAATCGAGATTAGGAGTAAAAGGTGCCTACCTCCATGCCCACCAGAAGTTTAGTCTGAGGATGTAGGTCAAAGGGTAGCCTCTGCTTCCAGACGGTTCTTCAAGAAAGGTCTATATTTCTTCTGAGAGGGAAGCTGCAGGGTTCCTGACTGGTATCTCTCTGCCCAGGTGCCCTGGGAGGAAGTGAAGAATGAGATGGTGGGAGAAAAAGGCCTTGCCCCCGAGGTGGCCGACCGCATTGGTGACTACGTCCAACAGCATGGTGAGGAGTAGACCCCAGCCTCCCCAGTTGCTGATCCCTGTCCCAACCTCCCTGAAGCTGAGATTCCCATATGTGGGTGTGTTCATGCATGCATGTGCACGCACAGAACCCAGGCAAGATGGCCCCTCCCCCACCGTTATCTTGTGCCTGTCAGTCTGGACACAAATCTTTCCCTAGGTGGAGTGTCCTTGGTTGAGCAACTGCTTCAGGATCCTAAGCTGTCTCAAAATAAACAGGCCGTGGAAGGCCTGACAGACCTCAAATTGCTGTTTGAGTACCTGACGCTGTTTGGCATTAATGACAAAGTGAGTCCCGTTGGAAATGAGTGTCCTGGCTGATCGCTGGGGTTTCAGGTCCCTGCTGCTACTCTAGTACTGACCATCGTCGTCTTTCCACAGATCTCCTTTGACCTCAGTCTTGCTCGAGGGCTAGACTACTATACTGGGGTGATCTATGAGGCAGTGCTGCTACAGACCCCAGCTCAGGCAGGGGAAGAGCCCTTGGGTGTGGGCAGTGTGGCTGCTGGAGGGCGCTACGATGGACTGGTGGGCATGTTCGACCCCAAAGGGCGCAAGGTGCCCTGTGTGGGACTCAGCATTGGAGTGGAACGGATCTTCTCCATCGTGGAGCAGAGACTAGAGGTAGGTCAAAGGCGGGTGGGCAGGTAATGGTGTCTAAGCTGTCTTTGATGTCTGAGGGATCAAGTGGCACTGCTTTGGGTAAGGAGCTTATGTGAAAGAAGTGGAGCAAAGAGCATTGTACAGCTAAGTCTGAGCCAGCCCAGGAACTCCGTCCCCGTCTCCATGTGGGTGATAGAGGCCTAGGTGTGGGCTATGCTCCCCTGGCCTCCCAGGCACATTAGCAGGCAGCCAGATCAGAAAAGACAGAGTCAGGATTGCCATCTTGACAGTTAACTGCAGGGTCTCACCTCAACACTCTGTAGCGCTGTCTCCAAGTGGGCGGCCCTGAGGCTCTGGTATGTCACCAATGGCCGTGTTGATTCCTTAGCACCTAGAGTGCCTGAAGATCATAAGGCTTAGACCTCAGAGTCCCAAGGCTTTGGCTGCTGTTCTTCAGTTGCCAGGGCATTTCATCCTCTAGGGATGCTCTAACAACTGCTCACTGCTCCTATTCTTTTTGAATTATTATTTATTTGAAAGCCAGAGTTACAGAGAGATCTTCCATCTGCTGGTTTACTCCCCAGATGGCAGCTGTAGCCAAAGCTAAGCCAGGCCAAAGCCAGAAATTTCATCTGGGTTTTGCATAGGAATGCTCTCTTGGGTCCTGTTCAGCTGCTTTTCCCAGGTTTATTAGAGGAAGCTGGATTGGAAGTGGAGCAGCTAGAGCACAAACTTTGCTGATTTCAGACGCCAGCAGCAAATACAGTGGCTTTACCCACTATGCCACAACATATCACATCCTGTTCTTATGTGTGTAAGCACATAAGTTTCTCAGTTGAGGTCACTGCTCCATTAGGCATCTTATAAAAACTATGAAAACAGTTTTCCAGGTGCTGGTGTCAGGGCATAATGAGTAAAGCCCCTGCATCCAACACCAGCATCTCCAGTGGACACCAGTTTGAGTCCCACTGTTCCACTTCCAATCCAGCTCCCTGCTAATACTCCTAGGAAAACAGCAGAAGACAATCCCAGTGCTTGTACCCCTGTAACCACACAAAGCAACCCCTGGCTTTGGCTTGGCCCAGCCCTAGCGTTGTCAGCTGGAAAGTGAGCCAGTGGATCGAAGATTTCTCTGTTCTTCCTTCTACTGTAACTCGATCTTCCAAAAAAAATAAAGAATAATTTTTAAGTTTTCTAGAAGTCCAAGAACTACAGCAGTATTTTCCATCACCCCTTACTCACACACATCCTAAGTTTTTCCTTATAACTGATGTATGAGAGACAGTCTCCTAAATGGGCATATAATAGGTGGTGACTCCTACTGCCAGGACAGATTTGTCTGGGAGGTTTACAGTAGTATTTCTGAGTGAATGTTCTTGTGGGCCCTTAAAGTATTAAATAGAGATGAACTTGAAGTCACTGTAAATAAGGCACCTTGGTTATTCTGGCAAGTGGTAGCTATAGGTCAGATCATTTTTTTTTTTCTGTCTCTCTCTGTACACCACCTAATGCCCACTTGCTGGAGAATACTGGGTCCTTTCCCTGTTGGAGCTTACTTAGTGACCAGAGGCAGGAAGCTATGTTTGCTCCTGGAGGGTGCCAGCTCAGCTCTGACTCTCCTGCTCCCTGCCTTCCCCACCACAGGCTTTAGAGGAGAAGGTGCGGACCACCGAGACTCAGGTCCTTGTGGCATCCGCACAGAAGAAGCTTCTGGAGGAGAGACTGAAGCTTGTCTCTGAGCTGTGGGATGCTGGAATCAAGGTATGGGATGTAAACCCCAGGGTTGCGGCCTACTTGGGAGGGCTAAACATAAACTGCATAAATACTCCTCCCCATTGGTTCCTGCTATGACATCCTAGGATGTAGCTCAGAGTCATGTGCCAGCCTGGGACCACCCCCCCAGGAGATTACTCCCGAGCCTTCACTGTCTACCGTAATCCCCCACAGGCTGAATTACTCTACAAGAAGAACCCAAAGCTACTGAACCAGCTGCAGTACTGTGAGGAGGCGGGCATCCCACTGGTGGCCATCATTGGCGAGCAGGAGCTCAAGGACGGGGTCATCAAGCTGCGTTCGGTGGCCAGCAGGGAAGAGGTGAGAGAGCAGCAGGCAAGGCTGGAGGACAAGGGAGTATATGCCACATTGGCAGACCCATGGCACTTCAAGACCCAAGAAAGGTCTGGCATTCGCATTAGTACCAACTCTTACAAAACCCAAGGGTGTGCACAACCTGTGGCTGTGGCAGGTTAAAACCTCCACTAGATTGGCACCCCCAAAAAGCACCATCTCCCCTCAGCTGTTGGGACAAGTTCCTGCTTCCAGCTGGGAACAGTGGGGTAGAAGCTGTTCAGACCACCTTCCTCTCCTTCCCTTTAGGTGGACGTGCGGAGGGAAGACCTGGTGGAGGAAATCAGAAGGAGAACAGCCCAGGCCCCCTGCGCCTGCTGAAGAGAGCCACCTTTCAGAGGAAGGAAAGTGCAGCTGGCACTATTTGAGGCAAAGACAAAACTGCATCTGCATTAGGACAGCTCCGTGCCTCCATGTGGCTGCAGGAAGACCTGAGTGACTAGCAGACACTGTTCTACGATTACTTTATTGTTAATGCTTGGCAAAAACAGCCAGGATCTCTGGCACTTTCCACAGAAGGCCCCTGGGGATGAGTCCAGCATGCACCCCTGGCTCCCCTGAGGTGGCCTCACCTGGGCGCCACAAAAGCAGATGCAGCCCCAGAGCCAGCTGCCAAAAGTCCAATAAAATGACTCAACCACTAAGGCGTGCGGCATCACTGATGTCTAGCTGCAGGGCCTGGGCCCCCACCCGTTCAGACCACTTGAGGGGTGGAGACTGGAAAAAGACTCCCAGTGCCGCCCACCTCCCAGCCCTCAAAGCCAAGGGTGCATCCGGCCAACGGCGTCCCGGAGCCGAGCCTCTCCGGCGGCCGGGCCCAGGGCTCACTCCACCGCCAGAGTTTCTAGCTTTCACCAGCACCTCCGAGGGCCCGCGGCGCACGTGCACTGGGTACCTCCACCCCTGGAGGGGCGGGGTCATGCTCGCAGCCAATGGGCGCGTGGGGGGGCGGAGGGTTAGGGAAGCTTCCAGAGGCCGGCGTGGAGGAGGTTATAAATAGGGTACGGACGGGCAAAGGGCAGCGAAAGCCATGCAGTCCAAACGCGAGTGTGAGGTGAGTGGTTGGCGACTGGCGCGCCCACGAGCTCCGCCGGCGCAGGGGAAGGGTGGCCGCAGGGAGGCCGGGCAGCACCGGCGAGGTGGAAGGGACCTCGGCGATTCGCCATTCCGCCCTGCGTTTTCCCCCAGCAATGGTGTGAGAGGGTGAATCCGGAGAACAAGGCGGCCCTGGAGGCGTGGGTCAGGGAGACTGGCATCCAGCTGGTGCAGGTGAACGGGCAGAGGAAGTATGGCGGGCCGCCTCCAGGTACAGTAGCCCCTGCGCCTGCCCTGGCTGCCCCGGCTGCCCCAGCCCAGACGGCGCCCGGCTGGCCTTTGGGGGAGGGGCCTGCCTCGGGCCTCACCTAAACCCGAACCTGCATCTCCCCCACCTCCAAGCAGAGGAGGAAATTCGGTTTTGCTTCCCCAGCCACCCGCCCAGTCGAGGAAGGAAGCCAGTATTAACTTGCATGCGTTTTTCGACAGCCCTGCTAGCTCAGCCGCGTAATTATGCCAAGGACCGGGACTTGGGTGTTGTATTGCCCTTGACAGACGTTCGTTCCCCTCTCCCTTGCTGCGTTCGCGGATGCAAACTCCGCGCCGGGCCGGTGGGTGACAATGCCCCTCCGTACGTCCCCTCCCCAGGCTGGGTGGGCAGCCCGCCGCCGGCCGGGTCCGAAGTGTTTATCGGGCGGCTGCCCCAGGACGTGTACGAGCACCAGCTGATCCCACTGTTCCAGCGCGTGGGCCGCCTCTACGAGTTCCGCCTGATGATGACCTTCAGCGGCCTGAACCGCGGCTTCGCCTACGCCCGCTACAGCTCTCGGCGCGGCGCGCAGGCCGCCATTGCCACGCTGCACAACCACCCGCTGCGGCCCTCGTGCCCGCTGCTGGTGTGCCGCAGCACGGAGAAGTGCGAGCTGAGCGTGGACGGGCTGCCGCCGGGGCTGAGCCACCAGGCGCTGCTGCTGGCGCTGCGGCCGCTGGGCCCCGGCCTGCAGGAGGCGCTGCTGCTGCCCAGCCCCGGGCCGGCGCTGGCCCAGATGGCGCTGCTCAAGTTCAGCTCCCACCGCGCGGCCGCCATGGCCAAAAAGGCCCTGGTGGAAGGTAGGGCCGGAAGCGCGGAGGCGGGGGCGTGCTGGTCGCTTTTCGCTCAGGGTAGCCGTTTACAAGTCACAACATATTGACTTAAACGTGTCTCAGTTTGTGACTTTAAGCTGGTTGAGCTCAGAATGTTCTTCCTAGTGGGAAATACTCATTTTTTTCCCCTCTATGTTGAGAATGAACTATGTGCCTGTGATATTTAGCACCTTGCCTGGTCTTAACAGTAAAGATAAGCTATTGTGATGGTTAGGAAGTAAACAAAGCCTGCACTAACCAGTTACCTTGAGAATTTAGCAAGTAGCCATTAATTACTCTCCAGGAAATGCATTGGTTGGCTTCTTGCATAGGCCCCAGGGCTTAGACTTTGCTTTGTCTTTTGCCTTTTTTCCCTGCAGGGCAGTCCCGCCTCTGTGGAGAGCAGGTGTCTGTGGAGTGGCTCAAGCCAGACCTGAAGCAGCAACTACGCCAGCAGTTTGCAGGTCCCTCCCTGCGGCTCCTTCAGACAGAAGGCACCCAGTTGGCTCTACCCAGGGACAAGCTAGGGTCTCAGGGTGCTCGGGCTGCCCTGCAGCTGCTGTGCCAGCGGATGAAGCTGGGCAGCCCGGTGTTCTTGACCAAGTGTTTGGGGATGGGCCCTGCTGGCTGGCACCGCTTCTGGTACCAGGTGGTGATCCCTGGGCATCCAGTGCCTTTCAGTGGCCTCATCTGGGTTGTGCTAGCCGCGGATGGGCAGGATGGGCATGAGGTGGCTAAGGATGCTGTGTCCGCACGGCTGCTAGAGGCACTGGGTGAGTCCGGGGCAAGCCTCTTGTGGTCTGCGGGGGCTGAGGCAGCTGCCATGGTTAAACAGTGATCTTCACCCTTCCCACACAGGCAGCCTGAACAGGCTGGCAGAACCTGTGTCAGTCCCCAGCCCAGCAGGTCTGGCTGGCCCTCTGATCCACAAAGGGGTAAGGACGTGGGACCTGCCCGACAGACTCCCTACCGGGACGGAGTCCCATGGCATTGAGGGCAGCTGCGGCTTGGCCTGAGTTGTCCTGCAGAATTCTTGTCCTCCCCTCCTGGGATCCCAGGTCAGAAGGTTCAGACTCTGGTCTTCCTGGGCCACACCCTCCATGACCCCCTTCCCCTTCCTACTGTTCCTTTCCATCCTTGGCTTACATGAATCTGTTCAGATTTTCCTGATTGCTCTGTATTTTATTTGAGGGACTGGCTGAGCCAAAGGGACAGAAATTGTGCCCTTCATCCCCAGCACTTGGCACAATGGTTCTGGTTTATGTATCGTTTTGAGGTTTTTCTATGCTGGTTGTATTTATATTAAACATCTGTTTAGTTCGTACATGTGTCTGTGCTGTCTTGCTGCACCTTGGAGTTTGTCACCGGGAAGTCCTTGCCTCCTGGCAGTGCCCCAAGTCCTGGGCCTGCAGTGTATCTTCTTGGGCTGTATGGTGGGCGATTAGCAGCTCACGTCTTCCCTCAGGATGTCCTGTCCTGAGAAGCTGGCCTGCTGGCAGTGTGCATCCACCTGCCGCTCAGTCACTGTCGTCCTCGCTCTCCTCCCCTTCCTCCTGAGCCTTGGAACCTTCTTCCTCATCCCTCAGTCCTGCAAAGAAGTCCTCCGCACTCCAGGCCTTGCTGCTCAGGGCACGCAGAGGACCCCCTTTTTTTTTGCGCCGCCGGTAGTCATCCACCACCAAGGTTCGAAGCTGGGTCATGTCCCAAAACTTGAGGCGCTGGTCATGGCCACTGCTGGCCAGGAAACGGCCACAGTGGGAGAGGGCCAGCTTCTCCACAGGCTCCCCAGCATGCTGGCCCACGCTGCCCACCACGCGGTTTGGCAGGATGTTCACAGCCCTGCCAAGGGAAAACAGTATTGGAGGGGTTGCTGACTTGCTGGCCTTGCCCTTCCTACAAACCCAGGGGCTGGCCTGTGCCCCCTCACCTGATGATGCCGTCAGTGGAGCCAGCACACAGTAGGCTCTCCGTGACTGGAACCATGCAGTCGATGGACTCAGCTCTCAGGGCAAAGCGGTCACTGGTGGCTCCGAAGCCATTCCAATTGAAAAGGTAGATGGTCCCTTCACTGGAGCCACAGGCCACCTTCTTCCCAAGCTGCAGGCAAACAGGGCAGATGATGACGCGTGGCATCTGAGCTCAAGCCCCGAACATGTGCACAGCCCGATCCCGGCATACTCAGCTGTACTTTCATGAGCGTGACGGAGGTCAGGTCTCCCGACTGGGGCTCTGAGAGCAGCTCGAACCGGCGCCGTTTAATGTTGAAGACACCCAGGCAGCCATCGCCACTGCAGGGAGCAGGACAGCAGGCTCAGGCAGAGGCTTCCACAGAAGAAGCCACAGCAGGAGGGGAGGGGAGAGGCTCACCTAGCCGTCAGCAGCAGTTTCTTGGCAGGGTCCAGAGCCATGTCAGCAATGTACTCCTCATGCTGTCGCATGTCCATCAGGGGGCCCTCTTTGCGCTGGTCCCAAAGCCGGACCCCGCCTGTGTCATCCCCAGTGGCCAGAACATTCTCATCGACCAGCAACAGACTGTTGATGGGAGAACTGGAGAAACACTGACAGCACTTAGGGGATTTCTGTCCCAGCAAGGTTCTCACAGTCCTCACCCTCACCTTCACACAGACACAGCCTCTCACCCATGTGCCTTGGAAACCCGTTTCTCTAGCCGGCCCTGCTCCACATCAAGGAAGTGGATGGCTTTGTCCTTGGAAACAGTGACAAGTTCTGGGGAGAAAGGCGCGCAGGTTACAGTGCTGTCCGCTGCCCCCTCTCCATGGCCACACTGCTGCCTGCCCACCCCTGACTCACTCTGCCCATCCTCAGAGAAGACGACAGCACGGCAGGACTTGAGGTGGTGACCCGAGGACCAGAGCTCCTTGGTTTCTCCTTCTTGGCAAGAGTAGGAGAACCTGGGGTGGGGAGGCAAAGTGTGGAGTAGAGATCCGGCAGAAACCCGACCAGCCTGCCCCCGCTGTGGGTGTTCCCGCTCGCACATCTCCAAGCCCGCATAAGCACATGGTCCATTTTCCCCTTGTCAGTGAGCTCACATTACATCTAGTTTTCATTCACTATGCAGAAAGTGAGTAAGGTTAACTAAGTTTGAACTCTGATGCTGCGAAGCAGTACACATTCAGTAGAAACTCCTGGTCCTGTTCTGCCCTAGCTATATACAGTAAGGAACTGGTACTGCTGGGCAGTGGCAGCTGATACCCGGCAGTGTGCTGTGTTGCTAAGCTACAGTGTTTGCTGAGTCAGATGCATTAAATGAGCTATTTATAGTTTGAGTGTAAGCCCATTCTAAGTCTAGGAAACACTTGTATGTTAATTCAAGACACATTTGCTAAGTACTTTTTTAAAAAAGACATTTATTTGGGCCTGGCAGCGTGGCCTAGTGGCTAAAGTCCTTGCCTTGAACGCTGCGGGATCCCATATGGGCGCCGGTTCTAATCCTGGCAGCTCCATTTCCCATCTAGCTTCCTGCTTG